CTTCTGGAGCGGTAAAATATCGGTTTCCCCGGTAACGCTGTACACAAAGCAGCACTGCACTCATAAAGGCTGCTTTATCATGCATTAAGAAATGAAATTGAGACCAATCGGACCAATCACCGCAGATTAGCATCACGCAAAGGATGGGTTTGGAAAAATTAATCGTTAAACAAATCTTTTGGTAGTCATTGAGCAAATAAGGTTATAAATTGAATTTTCTACCGATTAGATTGTTTTATTAATGTCTACACCTACCCCAACCCTAAACCTACCCAGGTGAAAAAGAAATATATTTAAATTGTGCTTTTTCAGACATACTTACTATATTTAAATTATACTATACTAAGTGCATATTAAATGTATTATTTTGAAACAACTTTAAGTATTACCATAGTATTTCTACTATACTTTTTAGAAATATACTAATAGTGTGCTTGTGTTTAGCATATTCCTTAAAAAGTGTAACTAAGCATATATTTATTACCAAAGTATTTCTAGTATACTTTTTATAAATACATTAAAAGTATGCTTCTGTTTAGCATATTTCTTAGAAGTATAACTAGCATATATTTAATACAAAAGTATTTCTAGTATACTTTTTAGAAATATATTAAAATGCAATTCAATATATTTTTATTGCACTTCAAATAAGCATGTTGGGAATACAAATGTATTATAAACATACTACTTGAATTTCAAGTATATTTTTAATACATTTAATACTACGTCTTTTTCACCTGGGTACCCCTTACAATAATGCAAAAATAGTAATTATTGTTGTACAGTGTGAGAAAAAATACAATATATTGATGTGCGCAACTGTGCATGCCCAGTAGCTTTTGCAGCCTTCTAGCCTTAAAGTGCCCCTATTACACCCCATTCACACGGGGCGTCAGCGTTAATGCTTGACGGAGGGCGTTTCTGAAGCTTGGTGCTGACGTGACCGTCATAGTGACAACAGCCAATCACATTAGTCTTCTGGTGTTGCATGAACGCGATTGGCTAGCGTCTGCGCTAGGTTTTTGCATAAGGCGATCTGATTGGCTGACACCTGCGTTGGCGTTTGAAAAGTTTTCAACTTTTGGCGTGAGCAACGTACCCAACGCGACGTGACGGACCCACAATTAATTTCGCCAACGCTTGACGTCACTCCATTCAAAGTAAACGAGAGGCGTTGACGTTGTCGCCCCGTGTGAATGGGGCGTTATGCCTTTTCGAATATTACCTTTCATGCAGTGTGTCATGTAGCTGTATGTGAACATAAACTATCTGCAAAGTTATGAAGCCGACGGTGCACGATAAATAAAGTTATTGTCTATCAAAAAAATAAAAAATAGTCGGCTTGCAATCGCCTAAACGAGTCGTCAGGAATTCCAATCTTATTCTGTTATGGCTCTACGTCACAAAGTAACACATTTGCATAATGTC